CTGGCTCTCGTACTTGCCTGTGGGGACTCGTTGACATGTTCACAACCCCCATCCCCAGGCTCAGGTTGAGGAGGGTGAGATACAGGAGCAGGGCTGGGTGGCATGAACAGAGGTGACTCTGCAGTGGTGAGAAAGCTAACGGGGCAATTTGGAGGCTGATTCATTTGTTTATCTGGGTGATTACGCTCTACTTAGTTGAGTAGTTTTTAAGTGTTTTGTGGTTCTGGAAATTTTCCCTCACAGGCTCATCAAATCCACATCCTTCCATGGGCCTGATATTTCCATGAAAGAAGGAAAAACCAGGGTATGGACTCTGGTGAACTTTATAATCACACACTTGCTAAGATAATTTTGATAAACAATGCATACTGAGGCCCAAACACAGAGGCTGAAAGGAACATTCGACTGTAGTTGCTATCATCTTTCAAAAGAACTGCAGAGAAAGACATGGTCTTCTGGAATATTCCTCCCCCAGCACTTTGCAAGCAGTGTTTTCAAATCCCTCCTTTATCTGTGTAGAAATACAACATAGACTAGTCAAGCTGTGAAAGCAAAGGACTTTTCACCTCCATTTGGGCTTCTCTATCAACATGTCACGGGACTCTGCAGAGTAAACTATGTGGACCTTAGAAGCGCCTAAGAAGTGATTGCACAGATACATTGATTTTTAGGAGATTTCAGATTAACAAGAGCTAAGACAGGTTTCTCTGCCGAAGGGGATGGCAGATTTGAGGCAGCCACCAATGGCCTGACACTGCTGGCTTCTGTGTGCTCCATGCTGCCTTTAGCTGGGCCCTATCTTACAATTCAGTAGAAATGACATGCAGCCATTTCTGGGCCCAGACCTGTGATGGGTGGTGACTGCTCTCTTGTTGGACTCACTCTCGAGGGCTCCTGTTCTGTGTGACTGGCCCTGTGAGTGAGTCATCAAGCACTTGAATTCTCTGACCTGTACAGGTCTGCCCTCTCCCTCCACCCCCAGGCCATCCTCTGACAGCTCCTGCAGGAGACCTAAGTGAGAGAAGTCTACAGAGCCAGGCCCATTCTCAGTATCCAAGTGATCCTAACAAATGATTGTTTTTAAACTGCTAAGTTTAGCGAAAGTCAATGTGCCATCAAACGCCCGGCAGGCGATCGAAAATCACCAGGTGAAGCAATGGCTGTGCTAGTGATGTGTGAAGTTTCAAGAGGAGGAGGCAACAGGCCATGGCAGCTGGGTGCTTCAGGGAAAGCCATACAGAACAGAACTTGATAGAAGCCTGGCTTGAGAAACATTGGATTCCAGGAGGGAAATGGCAGAGGACGAGGACTAGGATCTGGCTGAACCCCTTTCTGTTATATACTAGACAGGTGAGGCCCAGGGAACTGCCTGTGGAAACTGAGCTAGCTGGTCAAAGACTTCCCCAGACTTCCCTTTTCTAGCTGAAGTTAAGGGGTACAGACAAAGTAGCTTCACTCCCGTACTGCAGCTTGGCCAGTTGAATAGATGGGGCCTCTCAGTGGGGAGCAAGATCGACACTGTCCAAACGTTGCTCCCCATGGGACTTCTCTCAAATGGGAGACTTCCAAAGATGTAAGAGTTTATTAGCCTGATGTCTAGACTAAGCTCAGTTTAAAAAACAGAACTCACAGTGACATCTTGGGATTTCAGTTTTAAAGCATTTGCCTGTCAGAAACCCTTGCCTAGAACTGGAAAATCTGGAAGAACAAATCTGCAACTGAACTGGACACTCAGAGATGCAGATTTTAAAACTCTTCTGCCTGTGACAAATTCCATTTCGTTTCCTCTGTGTAATTTTATGTTACAAATGCCATTTCTTTTCCTCTGTGTAAGAGGTAAATTATAGGAACTGAAGTTTGACTCAGTTCTTAAAACAGTAAGTGAAGAACATTAACTCAGGTAACATATTGAAATTTTACCTTCCCGATACCAGTGTAACACATCTACACAGATGCCTGATCCAGCCTCCAAACCCCACAACCACTTTACTGGTTGAAAAAAGTTTTATCTAATTATCTTCTTTTCTTACTTTGAATTGACCAACCACGTATCCCTTTCTGGTTTTATCAAAGGGGCTGCGGGACAAAAGCACATCCAATTTTAAGTAAGCTTTCGTTACCAGACTTAAAATTGATCATGCATTTTGGTTTCAGTAACTTGCAATTTCTACACCCTTTGATAATTCACTTTAAAGAGCAAACGGTCTTTAATGACAAGGCTTAAAAGAGACGACCTTTCTGAACAGAATATGAAAGCTGAGAAGAGATAGTTCTTTTAAAGAAACTATGAATTAAAATGACCTTGTGTTCTGAAACTTTTCTCCCACCATTTTTGATGTTTTACCTTTCCTTTTTACTTTTAGAAAGAAAGCTAAAGCCCCACTGCCTTCTGTGGATGGTGATGCACTTCAATGAGAGCTGTTAATTGTTAATTCAAACTCATAGTCTCTTCTTTCTGCACTTTTCCTGCAGATGCCTTTAATGAGGTTGCTCGCCACGATAAGCATATGCCCGTTTCTGAGGAAATCTGTTAATATGTGACATTACAGGATAATGTTGGAATCGGAGCGATTTCCCTTGACTCACAGTTAATTCTTTTGTGCAAACTATGAAGCAAGTCCATCCATTCTCCGGCCGCTCCCTCCCGGTCCTCCCTTTCTCTCCATTGTGTCCCTGGATGGCTGCCCTCTGAGGAGCTGATTGTTGAGTGTGGGGGGGTTGCAAAATCAGGGTCAGAACCCTGAAAAGGCACACTGCCTGGTGACACAACACTGGAGGCCTCCCACAAAGCCACGGCATGCGCGGTGACTGACAGCGGCCTTTTATTTCACCCTTCTCCTGCCTGACCCCCTAATGGATAACCGCACACCCCAAGAACTGTGATCCCTGTGCATTCCTGCTGTTCAGCTTCTTCCAAACCACTACCTGTTGACAGTCACATGCTGAAATGTGAAAAGTACAGGTGGAGGGCTCAGGTGTAGCAGCCAATGCTAATAATTTGCAATATGACTAAATGAGGCGCTTGGTATGAAAAACTATCTTCTACCAGATAGATGAATGGATGAAGTCTTCGATGATTTTATAATAAGGCCCAATTTTTAAATTCATTTCTCGAGCACTTGCCTTTTCTCCCAGTAACCAGTCGCCCACTCAGTTCAACTCAGGGAGGAATTTTAAACATGCCGAATGCAAGTTTTCTTTATCTTCTTTTATCAGAGAACATTCGCAAAATCATTAGTGTCACTAGCTATTTCTATCACATGCGATCAATATGACCTCAAGTTTCAGTCTGTTTACTCCCAGACGCATACGGCACTCTTCAGAAGGGAAACAGGAGCTGGGGAATGTCAAAGGTTCACCCGTGTTTGTCATTTCATAACCACCGAAATGAGGAAAAGAAAGAATAGCAGGCAGCTTTCCAAAACACCTACTGATATTGACTCATGGAAAACAAATATTCTGGAGTGGGAGTTCTAATTCCAGCGCACAACACAATCCGCACAGCATTTTCACTCCAGGCAGCGACGATCCTCGCTAATGAAATCTGTTGAGCTTCAACCTGTTTTGCACGGTCAGTCCAAAAGGACTTAAAATTAATCACATAGCCTCACTCTTTCCCTTCTGAGCACTAAATCAGAGCTCGAGTTCCAGCTGCTCCCATTTGAACAGCGTGTGCTACCATTTTGTGCCTATACAAGGAAAAGCTGATCAGTCAAAGGACAGAGCCTTCTGTCCAGAGGAGATGCCAGGAGAGCATCAGCGTTGGGGCTGTGGCCAGGCAGGGGTGATTCCCTGCAAGAGCGGAGCCTCCTGCTTATGCCAGCAGCCGGGTCCTGCCTCTGCGGCGCCGGCCCTGGTTTTGGAAGGGACTGTGCAACCTGTTACTTCCTTATCATCTCGCATCTCCCTTACGGTACAAAAAAGGTAATTAATCCTTAGGCAGCAAACAACAGACATGGGCGTGGGAAAGAGAAAAGAATGCTGAAAAGTGTAAGTCAACTTTCTGCTCTGTCCTTTTACAGTAAACCAGATGATGACAGCCCCGCCCACAGCTCAGAGGTTGAAAGTGTCTCAAAGGGCCCAGGGCGGGCACACAGCGCAGGCAGAAACACACGGGTCGTCCACCCAGGCAGCTCACGGCGGCCCTGGCAAAATCAGGGGGACCGATCCTCATAGAGCTGGCACTGGCTGGTGACTTAAACATCAGCTCCCGGCACACCACCAGTTTCCCTCAATGTGAAGGCGGGACCGGCCTAAGCTCACTCCACTATCGCACTAAGCCACACTGCCCTACACGCCAGCCAGCTTCCGGAAAGACTATCAGCTGATACTAATATGCAAACAACAACCCTAAGAAGAGCGACCAAGAAAGTGACAATAAAACCATCACTGCTACGTAAATTCTCACAGACTTCGGTCTGCAGCCCCAACAGGACAAGTACTTGGGTTGATGGCAGATGGCCCAGTGACCTTTATTCCAAATTAACATGTTGCTTATGGCTTTGATCTTTGACATGACAGAAGGTATTTCCCCCCAGAGTAAAATTTGAGACTGTCAATACCCTCCAGGGAAAAATACCAGATATATGACAGACATACTTTTAGTCAATGAGGCGCAATAAAAAGTAGAAATAAAACTGTAAGTACAAAACACAACAAAAAGTAGAAACAAAACTGGTAAGTACAAAACAGTATTTAACAATACATGAACATGAATGTGAAAACAATGCAAACATTAACAATTTTCGCTATGATCCTACCACCGTGATTCTTGTCATAAGCAGGAGGTGAAATTCTATGCGAAAGCATTAACAAGGCACAACACATCGCTTCTCATCCCCATGGAGTCCTCAGCACACCCACAGTGCACATGAATATGGAAGAAAGAAAAGAATGCTATAAAAATAACTTAAGCACACACAGATAAAACCATCCTACTACTGAGTGAATGATGCATGTTTTATGATCTTAATCACATTTAAGTATTAAAAAATGCCACTGATCTCACAGTTTACAATATCCAAATCTTCAGACCTGCTGGCAGAAGTCCCCAGGACAGCAGACAGCAGCACCCACTCCCCTGGCCTGTGCCGCAGGCCAGTCCTTGTGCGGCTACCTGAAAAGCAAAATTTTAGTTGTGATTTTCTCTAGATTTCATGGGCTTGTCAATGATAAAATATACTCCGACTTGAGGAGTTGGATAAATGTTAAAAAAGGATATTTGGTATCAAAATTTCATCATTTATGCCCAGAAGGATGCAAAGCTTAGCTGCATCGAGCAACAGAATCTTCTGAAGAGTGAGTGATTCACAAGATCTCTACTTTCAACTCAAGGCTGAACAGGCAGTCCGGTCTTTTCCTGCATCGAGAGCAGGTTGTTTGAACAGAATCAGAACAGCTAAGCAGAATCCATGCCAGCAAGGTTTCTGGAGCCTGGGGTCCAGAAGGCCCCAGCACCCCTGAGAAGTGTCAGCGGGGTGGCGTGGGGATTTTGGGACAACCCTGGGCTCTGCTTATTCTGGTCGGGAGAGCATCTGCAATAGCAACAAATCTCCCGGGGTCTCAGCCTTGGAAGGTGCAGGCTACCACGTTACTCGCTATCTTAAATGGGTAACTGTGTCTCCAGAACTGTCAGCTGCTTCAGGACTGTGTCTTGTCATTCACTGGGTTGGGGAGGCCAGGACATATGTGCAGGGCGCCTTCGGTGTGGGGGTTCCGAGGGCCCTGAGCACTCTGATGACGAGGAGTGGGTGGAGGCTTCTCAAAGACAGCAATTACTAAAACTCAGTGTTCCTCCCCCCAAGCTGCTATCATGTTTAAGTATTTTAATGACTTCAACACCAAGCCAGGAATCACAAATGCGTATGAGACGAACCTTCGGCCTTGGTAGGTCGTTAGTTCTTCTTGAAGGATGGATGCTCTCTTCTGCAGAAAGTTAACCTAGAAAAGACACCGTGGATGAGAAGAGGCGGAGTGGCTGAAAGGCAGCCTGGGGCACACCATTTGCTCAGATACGACTGGGACAACACCCAGATGCATTGAGAGGAGTTGGCCACCATGCTGTGCTTCTCATAGCTGATCACATGGTTTCTCTACTGAAAATCCATCAGAGGCCGCAGAAAAGAGTTCAAACTCCCTATTTCAGAGCTATTTTTGACCTGGCCCCAAGCTATTCACATGGCTTCACCTCTGTTCACGCCTCTTCACCCTCCCCACCTATTTCGCCATCACTTTCATACTCGGTTACCCTTTCCCTTCTCTGGAGCGCTTGGCTAACGATCCCACTCTCCACTCTTCAGTTCCTCCATGGAATGCCCCCACACCTCCCAAGGGCAAGTCGTCTCCTGCTCCGGACCAAGCCCACAGCGCCCTCCTCTGTAGTCCTGTCTCTGTTCCTGGCATTTCCTGCATGGCCATGGAGTCATTTCAGATCTCTCCCCCAAACCCGAGGCTCCTCTGGGACAGGGATGGTGTTTATTCATCTTGGTATCCCTTTTATCAGGTTGGGCATGTAGCTGGTATTCCCTCACTCTTTAATGAATGAATGAGTGAGTAGAAAGAAAATTACTGCTTCTGGAAACCTCAATCCATCCAAGGGATAAGCCTGAGGTTTCAGAGACAGTATTTTGTAGTGGAAAGAGTCTGAGCTTTGTCTGGAGGTAGGCCAATTTGGGTTCCATCCCTGGCTTTGACACTATGGCTCTAGGGATGTTACTGAAGAGCTCTTGGTGCCACATCTGTGAAATGGGACCAATGACAGCCACTTCACAAGCACCTGGGGATGGTATGAGGTGATTAATGGATGTGGCTTGGTGCAGAGCTCATGGCAGGTACCAGCCTGGACATCTGGGAGCTGGAGGAAATCAGTAGCCTTGGCCAGTCTCCTACATCACAACTTTGATTATTTTCAAGCACAAATTTCTATACTAAATAGCAGGTTTAAATTCAAAAGCACCTTATAGAACCCAATAAAAATGTATTTGGGAAAACTTGTCCTATGTGTTGATATAGTCGAGTCAGTGGTATTTGATCACTTTGGAATTGTTTACTCTTGCTGCTTTGGTCTGCACAGAAACCATGGCAACGGCTGGTTCTGAAACATAGTTATGCAAGAGAATACAGCTGGCAGAATAGAAAATGTGCTTGTCAGAGAGCACAGCATACCCCTTTCTAAATGGCGATGGAACAATGTCCTCTCAGTTTTGATGATCTGTAACATCACTCTGGATTAGTTTCATCCAGTGCTTAAATGACCCTGAGGACAACCGATAATCTTGACAGATGCAAGGATTATACTGATGCAGCTTCCCTTCCCCCAGCCAAGCTTTGCAAGTGGAATTCTAGCAATTTTCAAAAAACAGGCACCTGTGCCTTCAAACGAAATTTGCTCCCAATATGGTCTGTGACTCCTCCACGCAGCTGCCCGCATGGAGGAGGGCAGGACTTTTTCTGGTTCAACATCCAGTTCGAGAAGTCTCAAGTGGCTTTTACTACAGTGAAATGATATGAATGATAACAGAAGCCCTGCAGATGGATACCACATTTCTTTCATTTTTCTAAAACACACACACACACACACACACACACACCCCTCTTAAGGTGCTAGGCCCTACCTAGCTGGTCCTATGGAAGCTCTCCACAAAGTTAATGGGCAAACCACACCTCGAGGAGAGCGCTGCATGTAAGAAGAGATGATTAACCCCTCTGTGCTAACACTCCCGCAACACTTGTTTTTCTATGTAGCAGTGAGCACAACCAAATTGTGCTCATGAACAATTCATTTTCAGAGAAGAGTGTTTTACTGAGGAAAATGGAAAAGGGAGGCCCCCGAAGTTCTTCAGATTTTACTTCACACACTCTATACAGCTAATGTGAGTATTGTCATATTATGTCATTTTCTTCATTCACAAATCAATTTATTGAACACCTACTGTACACGACAGACACTGATCTCTGCATGAACAAAGAAATCTTTCCTCTGTAGAACTATTAGATTTATTTATTTGTAGGTTCAATTTATTATATATATATATGTATGTATATATATTTATATTTACATCATTTTTCATTTTCGTACAATGTCTG